CAGGATGGTCTCGATCTCCTGACCTCGTGATCCGCCCGTCTCGGCCTCCCAAAGTGCTGGGATTACAGGCTTGAGCCACCGCGCCCGGCCCAATAAAAGCACTTATTATGGTTAATGGTATTCAGTAGATGTCCAGTAAATGTCGCTTGAAGGTATGAGCCCCAATCTTTATATTAAAACATGAATGCTTGTAATTAGATGTTTTCCTCTATACTTTCAAATCTTCAATTGAAAGAGCTGTAGTTGAAAATATCATTTTTTTCTGTTACTTTTATACTTTTTTACTTATTCAGAAATTCTGGAGTTATTTAAAAGGACAGATGATTGTTGAGAAAATTACAGAGCTACTGCATACAAAAAACACAGTGTAACAGCTAGCTTTACAAATAATGGGTAGGCAATAAATGTTAGTTCTTTCCCTTCTCAACCAGTTTCCTCAAAGCATTCATTACTACTTCAACGAATGCTTTGAGGAAACTCAAATCCTCTTCTTGGCTCTCATTGAGCTGGATCATTAGGGTCTCAGTAGGTTTTTTCCCTCCTTCAAAAAGATCTCATCTCTTTGATCTCAATCTGTTAGTCTCTAGGCTCTTGGTAAGGGTTGCTGCATCGCACACAACACAGGGTGGCCTCATCGTCAGCTAAAATTCTGATTACAGATTATGCTATCATTTTCTTTAAATGACTCAGTAAGACTCACACTCTGATTTGACGAATAGGTCCATATTTCCCAAATATATCATACATTTCTTCAGCTGTGATTTTGTATGGCAAATTTCTTATATACAATATCCGATTTACTTCAGGTGGAAGTCGAATCTAAAATGAGAAATATGTATTGTTGTTATAATTAGGGGCAGAAGTGCTACCATTTAAAAAAATTCTTAATGATACATAATAATAAGCCAAGAATAAGAGGTATAATTTGATGTTTCTGAAAATGGGAAGATCTTTGAAAAAGCAACAAGAGACTGGGTGCAGTGGCTCATGCCTATAATCCCAGCACTTTGGGAGGCCAAAGTGGGAGGATCACTTGAGCCCAGGAGTTTGAGACCAGCCTGGACAACATAGTGAGACCCCCATCTCTATAAAAAATTTTAAAAATTAGCCAGGCACAGTGGTAGGTACCTGTAGGCCTTCGCAAACCTTACCACCATCACTCCTGCTAACACCTGAGTTGGGCTGTAGCCTCTTCCCTGCCCATCCCAGGAGATGACCCTGATTCTTGCTTCCTGGAGAAAATAGACATGACCAATTGGTAAATACTTTTCATCTATATCCAACCCAACTACTTTTCCTCTATTACTACACCAACCTTCATCTGCTAAAAACTTCCACTTCTGGACTTAACCTATCTTTCTTCCATATCATGTTTCTTACACCCTGCTGGATTGCTCCCATTGGCATAAAAACACGCCTATATCACACATCTTTTAAAAAGTCAACTATCTGGCTGGGTGCGGTGGCTCATGCCTGTAATCCCAGCATTTTGGGAGGCCAAGGCAGGTGGATCACTTGAGGTCAGGAGTTCGAGACCAGCCCGTCCAACATGGAGAAATCCTGTCTCTACTAAAAATACAAAAATTAGCCGGGTGTGGCAGTGGGTACCTGTAATCCCAGCTACTCAGGAGGCTGAGGCAGGAGAATCGCTTGAACTCAGGAGACAGGTTGCAGTGAGCCAAGACTGCGCCACTGCACTCCAGCCTGGGCGACAGACTGAGAGTCTCTCTCTCAAAAAAAAAAGTCAACTATCATCCAATTTCCCTACTTCCTATTTACATGAGAACTCACAGACAGTGTCTTTGCTGTTTCCATTTTCTCAACTTTCACCATCTTTCCACCCCACTGCAATCAAGCTTTCATCCACTGAAATGATTCCTATCATCAAGGTCACCAAAAGTCTCCATCTACATATCCAATGGTCAATTGTCTGTCTTTTCTTTTTTCTTTTTTTTAAATTTTTTTTTTGAGTCAGGGTCTTGTTCTGTCTCTTGGGCTGAAGTGCTGTGCAGTGGTACAATCATGGCTCAAGGCAGCCTTGAATTCCTGGGCTCAAGCAATCCTCCCACCTCAGCCTCTCAAAGTGCAGGGATTACAGGCATGAGCCACCTCGCATGGCCTACCTTCATCTTATACCTCTAAGCGTTTTACAGTTGACTAATCTCTCTTTTGAGTTTTTTTTAAAGTTTCCATAACACTGCACTCTCAAACACTAGAATGTAAGCAGAAGGACTTGTTTTATTCACGGCTGTATTCCCAATACGTAAGACTAGTGTCTGGCACATAGTAGCTGTTCAATAAATATAACTGATGAATTATGTCCCACATGGCAAGCAGAATACATAGTAGGTGCTCAAAAAATATTGTTTTAATTAATATATTAATGAAGGATCCGAAAAGCTCCATGATCTGAGGGAAATCCCAGGCCCCAATTGTTGGTGAACCATTAAGTTAGTTGAGAACTCTTCTGCGCTATCGAGTTTAAGCCAAGGAGATAATCCTAACGCCAGGTCCTGAGGTGCAGGTCAAGCAAAGAGGCTACAGGGGTAACACTATGACTGACACTAGGTTAGAGACTGAGGAACTCTCAAAAGGGGTGGGGGCAGAAATGTCGCTCAAGGAGCATATCTCCGAGGATGGGGCCAGGATAGTGTCTTCGCTGACAGGATAGGAATTCTGGAGTTCTCCGCTCTGGGGACGGAGGAGGGGCAAGAATGCTCCGATCCACGCGCTAATAAAGTCAAACCCGAAGTTCTCCCAACCTCTGCAGAACACCCGGTACTCACGTTGGCCCTCTTGGCCGCTTGCATCGCCATCTTGGCGGGCTGATAAGGTTACCGTAGCAGATACTGAAATTCCTCCGGACCCCTCCGGAGCTCGCTCGGTTTCAGGCGTTACACCGCGTTAGACACAGGACATCAACATCCAGGACCCGCCGGAAGCTGTTACAGCGGAATAGCGCTGTCTCACGCCGAGACGCGCTGACGTAGCAACCCCCTACGAATACACTCCCGGGTAAAACCGAGCCTGAGAGAGACGGGAGGCCGGAAGATGGAAACGCGAGTTCAAGACACTTCCGGGCTCCGTAGCGTAAAGGGCGGGGCGTAGCCTCCAAAAGGCGGGATGTTCCGGTAGGGGAGGCCCTCCTTGAGCAAAGGGAGCCGGGTGGAGGGGGCGGGGCCTGAGGAGGGCGGTGAGCTGGGGCGGGGCCCAGGTGAGTAATTGGGGAGCGGAGGAGGCGGGGGTTGAGGAGGGTTATGACAAATAGGGAGGGGCCCAAGTGAGTAGCGGGAGGGGCGGGGCCGGAGGAGGGTGCTGAGAACTGGAGCTGGGCCGAAGTGAGTATCGGGGAGGAAGCGGGGCCTGAGGAGGGAGGTGAGCTGGGGCGGGACCCAAGTGAGTAGCGGGAGGGGGCGGGGCCTGAGGAGGGCGGTGAGAGGTGGGGTGCGGCCCAGGTGAGTAGCGGAAGTGGTCGGGGCCTGAGGAGGGTGGTGGAGGTGCGGCGGGGCCCAGATGTGTAGCAGGAGGTGGTGGGGGCTGAGGAGGGCGGCGAGAGGTGGGGTGGGGCCCA